ATTTTTATTTAATTGACTTTGATAGAAAGACTGGGTCAATAAAGGACTTTGCAATGGTTGAATTGCTGTCAAAAAATTACGCCGAAATGTAATCAGGTTCAGTAAAAGTGAAATCTACAGCAAAGAATTATATTTATTTATTTGTGCATGTTAAAAGGGATTGTGTGATAAATAAAATCTCTTACTCGTCTTTTTTGATATAAAAAAAAAGACTCATAGGAGATTCAAATCACCCACAGTTAGGCTACTTTAACTTATAGATGATAAAACGAATTAATCGCTATGTTTTGTTGGATGTTTATTGTATTATGTAAGCCGGTGGGAATTTATAATATGTATGCCATAATGCACATACCGGGTAATAACACGTGACCCTTAACAATTCACCTAGCTGATTCATTTTCATCAATCTGTCTGGTCAGATTGACCTGATTATGGCGGGAAATTATAGGCAGACGTGACCTATCAAATAACCTCTAAACAAACAACACACGATCCTCCCTTTTTACTGTTTGACTTTGATAGTAATAGTAGTAATGCATCCACCGAAGGTAGGGGGACTGCGGCATCATACAAAAATTAATGAAATGGGGGTTTAACGTCCTACTTTTTCCAGCGCCAATGCATGGGGTTAATGAAGACGCGCATTTGTATAGCAGCGCGCGATGAGAGAAATAGGTGATGCTCGTTTGTCAGTACGGAACGTTCTGAATTGAAGAAATTGCAATTGAGAGACAAGGAATTCAGATACGTCACAGTTCTGCCAGTCCCAACGACGGAGGTGGTGTGAGTAGAATCGTGACGTAATTAAACACAACTAACATGTTTCAGCTGTCATACTTGGTTGAGACATTTTCTCATGCAGTTGGCGCATGCGTTCTAGCCCCAAATCCCCATTTTCACTCGATTGTCACTATTTTGAGGTTTGACAGAATTCAATTCCTGAACGTTCAATCGAACATCCCCATTGTGTTCAGACAGCGGCGCCACAACCTACTCGTCTTCCGATTTACAGCTGCACAGAGATCCTTAATGTGCTGACAATGATATACACGAGACTCCGATTTTTCGTCCCATCCGAACGACTAGAAGCTTCTCCATGCCAGATTCCCCGCCCTGCCCTACTGGCAAGGATAAAGCAGGCTGAAAATCCAGAGGAATTTTCTCGGCAAACAGTGAGCCAGGTGTGTAGGCCTACTCACTGAGACACCGGAAGGAAATAAGTTTATACTTTAATTTCATGCTCTAAGTTATGTTTAAATTTCATCATTTTTGGTTATGTTTAGAAATATACTATTTGTGTTTTTTTGGTTTTTTTTTTTACAAACAATTGACATCTCATTATATAGGCTAGAAATCGACATTCTCATGGCCCGTGGTTGGTATTCTTTAAGAACAGATGAATCATAATTTAAATGAACGACAAAGTCCACTTTAGAAATTCCTGCACTTTAAAGGGATCAAAGCTCTAACTCTCAATATCACACAGAATCACGCCAATCAATATTGATGTTGTTATCTTACCGTGAAAATATTGGCTTCTGATGTCCAATATTTAAGTTACAGTCAACAGTTTTAAAGGACAATATTGGTGTCAGTCATTATTATCACATATGTGATAGAACTAATAAAACACGTTTTGGTCTTGGAAGGAATTATTAGTGAGCAGAAATTCGGCCGTGTATCTGTTATCACTCGTCACATCAGTCAGCTATATAGAGGTATGACTCGTGTTTTCCTTTGGCGTTCGTCACTTCCGATTCAGGAAACCTGTATTACTCAGCTATCGTAGCAATGATCTCTGTGTTAAAATTATATTTGGAATGTGTTTAACCAGCTGTATCACATATGTGATAATGACTGGCACCAATATTGTCCTTTAAAATCAGTACTCAACAACGAGCGTCATTTCTAATGAGACGCCTTGATGATCGAGAAGAAAGGTCAGTGCGTAAGACTAAGAACAATGTCAAGCAGTACCCCCGATGTCGACTGGACTAATGTATTTAGACGAACATAGGCATAACTGACAGAAATTACAATAAAACTTTTAGAAAATAAATGTTAATCAGTATCACGCCCCAGCCTTGACCATACCAGGAGGGACGAAAACAGAGAGTTCTTTGAATCCATTTGCATGCGAGGAAGGGCTAGCTAGATCATCAATGACCCATGTTATAATTACTTGAAGCAAAGTCTAATAAAATATCAAAACGTTTATTTGGATTCATAAAACTTTATACATCTGCACAGGACAAAATGAAGGAATTTGTAACCGACAGTTGTTGAAGGGCTAACCGCCAGCACTTAAGCTTGACTTCAACATACGTACCACTAAATAATCAGTAAACAGCAGTAACTATATCATAAGTGACAATCTGGAAAGATGGGCTAACCGCCGACACACAAGCCTTACGGTCAGATCTAAATATTAAAGCCACCTGCAGATTTCACCAAGGTCACGGGATGTAAACAGGGTTAGGGCACGTGATTGTTGCCGAGGATTGTGGGTTAGGGTTAGGTTTTGGAGTAGGGTTTGGTTTAGCACCAGCCAAGTTTACATCTCGTGACCTCGACGAAATTTGCAGGTGGTCTTAATATTTAGGTATAACCCAAGCCTTACATCGCCATTCCGCGCTGTTCCCTAGTCTGCTTAAAGTTACGATTTCATACTTTCTAAGAAAGTCGAAACATAATTATTTCTATGTCTTTTGCTCAATAGGTTGTCAACTCACTATTATACGATCACAGGTGTCATTCTCACACTTAAAAATCATAACACCGGAAATAATAACACAATTACCTCCAAATTACCTCCCTTGTTTTCTATTCCCCATCATGGAGTAGCTATCCTCAAACGTTTGAATTTGAAGTTGAAAATGATATTTTTGCCAATTTCTCAACTGGCAATAGTGAATTATAGGATTAATAGGATTATTCTTTAACAAGGTAGGACTGTTTATAGATACCATCTATTTTAGGGCTTTATTTTAATATTTTAAAAATATAACTTAAAAATATGAAATTGTAACTTTAAAACATATCCCAGAATTCCTTAAGCATCTGAATCTCACAGGGAGATATTTGTTTTTTGGCCAATTTTAAGGGATTCGACGTTTCAGTTTTCCAGGGATTAAAAGTCAGTAAAATTACGATCAGTGAATTTTATTCACCTTAATTAAACGAGGCTGGGGGGGGGGGGGTTAGATGTATCATACGGTCTGTCATAAAGTCAACTGGCGCGGTTTCGATTCTCCGGCTCTACGTTAGTTTCCTCTGGGTCCTCCGGTTTCCTCCCACTGCTAAGGATCCCTACGCGCAGGCGAATGATTGGAATAAAATTGAACCGTGTGTTAGTCCCGAAATGACCTAGTTTGTGTCGAGTGGACGTTAAACCCCATTTCCATCTCTCTCTCTCTCTCCCTTAATTAAGCATTCTGTACAGTTTAAACCCTGTTTAGATAAACCTCGGGCATGCATTCAGTTAATTACAGGAATTATCTGGGGAAAAAAAGATTTCAAATACGAGAATGTGTGGGACTAGTTTTGTAATTACCATAAGGTTTGGCATATCGCCTTTAAGATATGATATATTTGCCTGTAATCACAATATGGCAGCAAACCAAATTTAAACATATCTGCAATCGTTATTGCCGTAGTTAATGGTGCATTTAATTTCCTATAATTTTGATAAATATCAGATTCATCTTTAGTCGGCCTACCGCCAAGAATCTATAGTTTTTTTGTATGAATTTGTGTGTTCCTTCTTAGATTTGTAAACCAATATCGCTGTACGTTTGAAATTAGGTGAGGGCTGTAAATCCATCAATAGACCCTATTGCCCTAATATCTCACTTTTTGCCGAAAATGAAATAAAATTAGGTTTTATGGCCTAGCTTTCAGTTCGAAACGGTCTAATGAAGGCGGTCATATGCCACGGCTATAGGAAGAACTGTGGTTGGACAGCGGCGTTGGCGCCCCCTCTTCGTCGATTGTAAAGGGTTCTCTTACGTGCACACCAACGTGTAAACGGAACCACTGTGAGTATGATACTAGCTCACTAACCGGGAGGTCTTAGGTTCGACCCCGGTGTAGACCGAGAACATTTATCGGGATTTTCCAGTCTGTCTTACCTTCGTCGAAAACAGCATAGTTGGCAAGATCCACGGAAGAAGAGTAGGAGGTCCATAGCACGTAGGGAATTAAAGATGCATTATGTAAGATTAAGATAAAGAATTGACCGTTCTTGCTATAATAGTTCCAAAATGAATATATTGAAAATTTCATTCAAATTACTTTATTCGGAACAGCTTATCACTGTTTGAAGTTTTAGCAAGATGTGGCATGGATTGTTTATTATCGTAACAACGGTACTTATTATTCGAGATTCGCCATTCTTATATTAAATCATTAAATAGCGACCGTGTTTTAATCCGTTTAAATCTCCGCCATCCGATGGTCTAGAGAGTTGATTATAGGCTTGTCATGTGGATAAATGTGTATATAATAATCTGTATAGTATTTGAAGCCAATAGCGAGACCTGTAAAGGGATATACATGTAACGGCCCTGAGTGGAAGACCAGACGTAATTTGGTGCATTCTGGCATATCTATCCGATAAGAAATCCAAAAAATCTTGGCCCACCAGTTTTGAATGATTTTGGTGGACTGGTAGCACAGCATGCTACGAACGCCAAATCCGACGGTGCAATCTGGGCCCCGTTTCTCGAAATCTTAACTAATATAAAGATAAAATCCAAATTTTAGTAAATACTTCAATTTTGATTGGCTAAGCACTAATATCAATCTAATATTATCCAATCAAATTACTAAAATTTGGATTTTATCTGAGTTAAAATTGCGTGAAACAGACCCCAGGAACTTAGAATTGGCAGGTGTAATTAGGGAAAAAGGGATGTCCTATGAAAACATCCTGCACCCCGTAACAAGTATCCAGACATGCACAGACTTGCGCGTTAAACGGAAAGACAAACTCAAAATTGATAGATATATTTATTAGCCATATAAAGTCGACCAAAAAAAAAAAATACAAAAAACAAAATAATACCAGAATCAAGAAGAAAACGATGATGATCATTTTGGACAAGTGAGAAGCCAGTGATTAGACAATAGAACACTATAGATATTATAACTAATACTATTCAATTACGCCATCAGCATATTTTTGATTACTGACATTTACACGGTTTGACGTCCGTAATCAGAGTTTTTCAGAAAGTAGGTGGATGATAAAAAGAGCTAATTATCTTCTAAATGTGCTCTGTGAAAACAGAACAGCAGAAAATAGTTCCATATATTAAAGTCTTAATAGTATCTCGGCGGAATCATCAAACATTTAGATTTAAAATCTGGGTTTGATGCTAATGTAATCTAAGATCCTGTTAACTAATAAGCCTTTGTTCTTTCAAGTAATTAATAAAGTTGGACAAAGATGAAAAATTGGTTCAATTTTTCTGAAATATTAGTTTTTTAAATATCAGTTTCATAGAAAAGTTATGTTTCCTTTAAAGATTTAAAGTATATTGTCATTAAAAGAGTATAGTGGTTTACTGTGGACTGTATTCGGTGGACAGACTGAGCATGTAGACCAAGAAGTTTCTTTAAAAAGCAGAATTATAATAGATTTATGCCACGATATGCGAACAAAAGCAATAACAACAACAACATATATAGACAAAATAAAACCATTTAGCCTACACAAAACCAATCCATTCCTTGCTACATTCCCATTCCTTTCAAATGCATTCAGTACGTCATCTAAAATGTCCCCCCTTTCCCGGTTGGCCTAAATTGTTCTCTAATTACCACGACTCTCCTGGTTAAACAGACTTGGTGATCTTGACTCTTAACCATGCTCGGTTATACAATCAGGAAAACAGAGATATGTACAACACCAATCCTTTAAAATGGCTCCTCTGACTCTTTAAGCGCTGCCATGTCGATCAAAACGGACTTGATAATCTATAGAAAGACAACGGCCAGCAGTATTTCAATATTTTCAAGTCATTTTTGACAAAGGGGGAGATTTTTTTCGTTTGGTTAGAAATGTCCCCCATCCTCTGCATGTCATTGAAAGACTAGCCTAGAACAAGCTTATTTCACGATTAACATGGCACTAGAGGACAGAGGGCTTTCCAAACCAACTCGCCCATCCCGAGCATGCGCACCACGTTTACTACATATACTATCTAACACACCAGCAAGAAACGGCCCTTTCATACGTTAATTATTAATTAATTAATACATATAATCCAATTAAAATCAGGAGATATATTTGATAAGCTCTGGATTTGCGTTCGCCACATCAATATAATTATTTATTATGTGTTTATTATATTATAACGAAGACAATAACAGATCGCATATTATGCACGACGCCATATTGATTTTTATAGTTTGAGCAGTAATTTGATGACGACTGATTTCAGTTAACTCGGTTGTACAGCGATTTCATCGTCGCGCCCTTGCAGGTCGTTTCCTGAAAAATAAAAATAAAAATAATTGTAATTTACAACGGCTAGGGGGCCCCCGCTTAATCAAACACCCGGGCCGATCAGGGTCTATTTTAAGGTTTTATTGACAAAGCACAGTTTCCGGAGATGGAGGTTTTTTGTGGGTATTTTCCCCCTCGGGTTCCGACAAAATTTCCAAAACGTGACTCACGATTTCCCACACAGAACTTGGTAGACCCAATTAGCTTTTAACATCACCGTTATCGGTTCTACTATGTCAGAATAAAACTTCTGAAATCGTGACCAGTTAGTCGTGACAAAAAAAAAGCTCAATAGACGTGGAATAAAAACTTTCTGAATTATCACCACGCTTACACAAGCGGTTGCCATACATGATACGCCGAGATTTTGTAAGAGATGGACAAGGAACTGTGAAAATCGATAAGGCTCACACTCTCATTGTCCCAATGCCTCACATCGAATATAAACCTGTAGCCTATATCGCGTTCACAAGTTTTTTTTGGGAAAAGTTTGGTAACTCGAGAGCGGAAGGTCACAAACGCTGAATATCGATGGGGTTTGTCGTCTCATGGCCCCGATGCTTCCCACCAAATTTGAAAAAAAACACGGTTAAAACGGTAGCCTCTATCGCTTCCACATGGTGTTCGAAAGAGGGGATGGGGGAGCTTAACTTCGGAACTGAAGGTCGCGGAATATTGATTATCGATAGGATTCGTGCTCCCATGTTCCCAATTCATCACACTAGAAAGCTCATAAACTTTCTTACGCTTTGTGTATGTGGTCATAACCCAAGCAGCTGCACCAAAATCGTATTCAACCAAGATCATTTGATCTTCAACGGGCAAAAATTGAGGCACAAATGTATGTGAAACTGTACATGATCGTATAAAAATTTACATAATTTACAGATTTGTATTTATAGCTTCGTATCGGTATCACTGGCAGTCCAAAGAAACGTCGAAAAGCAGACGAACCGTTACTGTAACCAGTAGTTCATTACTTACGTCATAAACAGCTGTATTTTTTTTAGAGATTTGCATACAAAACACGAAATTTAAACGCAATCAAACGCAGTGGCTGATGATCACAATGATTGCTAATGGCACACTTGCTAAATTTCGTCATGCTGTCTTTTCTGATTGACAAGGATAGGCTACATACCATTTTTTCAAAGCACGGATTTATGATTCCCGAAGCACGGATTTTTCATTTCGGACACCTGTAGGCACGTTAAAATAGGCCCTGGGTCCGATTGTCACAAATGTTTTGACCGTACCATGACCAACGGACCATCAACTGTCAATTTGCCAACGGGACCTTGCTTTTCCTTGTAAGCCAACCGGTTCTTCAAAAACTAAACTGGGATTCGAAGCCGGGTTGCCAATATTTTTTGTCCCCTTCGAACGACTAAACAATGTTTCTTGTCAGACTCTCCGTTCTGACTAAAGGTGCCACGCCAGCAAATCCCGAGGAACTTTGTCAGTCAACAACCTGATTTAACGAGCAAGTTTCTTACTCACTGAGTCACCACGGCTCCCAAGTGCCCTATATGAGCCTACTGTAAGTAGCTTATTATTCAACTTACGACTATCATTTTATCATTTTCAATCCAGCGAACGATCTCCATTTCTTCACCTTGTAAACTAGATGCAGCGTGCTTCTCTTTAAACTGATTTCCACACGCCTGTATAAGACTCTGAAAATCAAATAAAATAGTAAGCGCATACTTAAGTACACGAACTACATCCGGTTGGAGTAAAATGTCGGCTAGATCTGTTTGTTAAGGCCAGCACAATTTTTGTCAAGGTCGCTGAGATGTAAATAAGGTTAGGACACGTGATTGTTGGCGATATTGTGGGCGAGGGAGAGGATTAGGCCTAGCAATCTGTTTCACATTGTAGCGGCCTCGCGAAAATTCACTGTTGATCAATGTGTAGGGCTAGGTTCAGAGTTAGGGTTAGGGTTGGGGTTAGCGCTCGCTAGCCCTGTTTACATCCCGTGACCTTTGACCAAACCTGGTGTTGGCCTTATGAAATAGATCTAACATGGTTGTATCCATATTGTAACCCAGGACTTCTATTTTCGACAGTTAGAAAGGCGAAGGAAGACCAAGAAAAAGGAATGAAATGGGGTTTAACGTCTTACTTCTTGGCAACAACCAACTAAGGATATCAGGCTTGCGCAATGCCTGAAGTATGAAGTAGATTCCCGAAGTATGTGAGGCATGTGTATACACAGGACGTTTTTCGTACCATCCGAACGACAACACAGTCTTTTTTCTCCCAGATCAAAGGAATCTAGTAGTCATAGTAATTAACTGGCTGTACCATTAAATATCAAATGACGGCTCGACATGAAAACCAACAATGGGGCGACTATAAATGTCCCCAGCGTTAATACCGAAATATAGATAACTTTAATTACTGGGACGTTTATCTATTTATAATGTATCGAGCAATAAAATTGCTTATCACTCTGCTTAAACTGAGCAGAAAATGTTCAGTATCGAACATAGTCAAGGTATTGATGTAATGAAACTATTATCGTGTTTCAATGCACGTCCGATTGTACGTGACAAGGAGTAGGCTCGCCTGTCCAACCTCGTGGGTTTTCTCCGGGTTCTCCCACTGCTAAAGAACCCTACGCGCAAGCGAATTATTGAAATAAAATTAAACCATATGTTAGTCCCGAAATGACCTAGTTTGTGTCGAGTGGACGTTAAACCCCATATCTCTCTCTCTCATCTCTCTCTCTCTCTCTCTCTCCTCTCTTTCGCTCTCTCTCTCTCTCTCTCTCTCTCTCTATCTCTCTCTCTCTCTCTCCAATGCATCGAGAAACAAATTACTTATATCTGCTTTGCCTCGACGGGAAATGCTCATCATCTCACCCTGTCAAGACATTAGCCCAAGAACATCTGAACCGAGTTTAAACATTCTACAACAATTATAAGGAGGGTCATCTAGTTCCCAAAAATTGTGACAGACTGACTGCCGGACAAACCATATTGATAGGCACCGGCTTTCTCCAAAAGGCGGGGAACAAATATGTGGGCAACACATACATGCGTTTGAACAATATGTATCTACTAGCAGGATACCCGGCTTCGCTCGGGGGTCATAACTCCGAAACCGGAAGTGGTAGACTAACGCCACCTAGCCTATGTTACTCCCCGGTCCGAGCTACCCCTATACCCCAAATTTCAGACTCGGGGCAGACCTAGTGTAGCCGCCAACCCCGAACAGACAGACAGACAGACAGACAAACGACAGTCACAAATATATATATAGATAGATAATCAATTTAGCTGACCATTAGGAACAAACAGTTATTTAAAGATTCGCTATAGGACATATTTTCATTGAAGGACAGGGAAATCCACCAATATAGGAACAATAATAATGTACATTAAATTTTGTAAAGCGCCAATTTTGACTATGCAAGATTCCGCAGACACTTGTATGTGAGGCACAAGACTTTAAAGTTGATGGAGCTGGAATTGGGAGCTAATGTAAAGAATTTGGATTATGTGTTCTGTGAGGTGATGCTTTGGTTCGTGATATGATTCTGGCTGCCGTATTCTGTATTTTCTGTAGCTTGTAGAGACTGGTTTGTTTAATCCCAGACAGCTACTTGGTACAATAGTCTATTCTAGACAGAACTACAAGTGACTGTTCAAGAGATTTTGCGTCGTCAATCGTGATGAGATGTTGAATATCACTGATCCGCCGAGAATGAAAGTAACAAACAATGTTACGATATATCAGAACATACTTTCGCGGCTGGGGGATGGGTCCACCAATAGGCACTAATATAAGAACACATGGTTATTAAGATATAATGACATACTTTCATGGGAGATCCATCAATATCAGCTGAATCGTATGGCTCGCCTAATTTAAAACGAAAGACCCGACCGTTAGGAATGCCTTTAACTCCAACTTTAATAATCCACTCATCTCCTTCCCTGGAATAGGCGATCTCTGTCTGGGCTTGAGAATACCATTGGGTTTTATCATTCGGTAAGCCTGAAAAAGATAAATACATTATGGGCTTTAGATCATAATATCTGTCGCTGACTCAAGTGGCATGGTTTCGATACCAAGCTGGATATGATCTTCTCAAAGAAGTGGAACCCTTTAACAAATTTTAGAACTTGACTATTTAGGCTGTACACAATAACTTGTCGGCGGCCTGACTGGCATGGGTGACGAAAATGTGCGTCTACTTGACGGAAATCGTAAGATTTTGAGGATATTCGCAAAGAGGAAAGACCGTTTCACCAAAACCATATCCCTGTTGGGACTCTAACTCTATATACACGTCTACTTAACCGTGTAAGATTGGATTGGGGGGGGGGGGGTATCTTCAAAACTGGGGAATCCCTTTCACTACAATCATGTCCCTGTTGAAACTGATGTGTTATAAAACCGCGTTATTTCCAAAGCGCTATATTCTCCATTTAATTAGATCCGAGGAAGTGCTTTCTCGATTAAGAGCTATAATCAGACAAAAACACATTAAGGAACATTAAGGAAACCATTTAGAAGTATTTATGAAGATTTAACATCAAGGGTGGGCGAACTTGTTATACCTGATATTCTTGGTTTTTAACGCACCTCGACGCGTGCATGTCAGAAATGTGTGCGGTATTGCATGTTTCCATAAAATACATTCCACAGTAACATATCTTGTTGGTTAATGAGGCAGATATCAAACTGTGGGACAGTATTTTGTGGTAATTCTACAGACAACATACTGTTTGTAACTAGACGGTTTTATTATTAGAATTATAGTTTATTATACAAGTCACTCTTTGTATTCCAGTTGCTAGAAAACACTAGTTTATAGGATGTCTGAAGACAAACCTTTGGAGTCGCATTTCCTGAGGGTTTCGAATCCCCGGCTGTACGTGACAAGTAGTAGGGTCGCCTGTCCAACCTCGTGGGTTTTCTCCGGGTCCTCCCGCTGCTAAAGACCACTACGCGCAAGCGAATTATTGAAATAAAATTAAACCATATGTTAGTCCCGAAATGACCTAGTTTGTGTCGAGTGGACGTTAAACCCCATTTCTCTCTCTGTTGAAACAGACGTTGAACACCTAACAGTAACCAAGGATTGAGTTCATGGGCGTGATGATTGCTGATTTTATCCGAGCAACAAGAACCCCTGGAGGCGACAAAAACCCAATATTAATATCTTTTCGGTCCAATTGTAGTGTATCTGAGCCACGGTGTATGTTTGATACTGGTTGAGCCACGGAGCATGGTTGATACTGTCTGAGTCACGGTGCATGTTTGATACTGGTTAAGCCACGGCGTATGTTTGATACTGGTAGAGTCACGGTGCATGTTTGACACTGGTTGAGCTACGGTGTATGTTTGATACTGGTTGAGCCTCGGTGCAAATTTGACACTGGTTGAGCTACGGTTCATGTTTGACCCTGGTTGGCCATTTTGTATGTTTGACACTGGTTGAGCAATATGATTCTGAAGTAATACGGATCAGTATCTGAACATGGAATTTCTTGTCAAAAGCTCGCGTCATTGCGAGTTACCATGTCGCGAAACACATGTGTTTAGCGATACAGTTTATGGGACAAACATTGGTGGCCTGCAAATGGGGTTCAGAAACCCATGGTTCACGAAGCCAATACTCAACCTAGATGTCTATATTCTGTTTAAATGGAGACTTTTTGATTATTGTTGATCAGACTTAAATGTGAATTCCAGAAGCGTATTATTAGTTCGGTTGGGGTGGCTGCAGCTGTGTATGTCCAAAGCTATTTTCATGGGCTATTCTTAAGCAAGAATAAGCTATTTTCGGGCAATAATCAGAAATATTTTAGATAGAAGTGGGACTTTCGGGCAAAGTTTTTAAGAGTCCTCTCCAATAGTCTTGTACGCATATGACCGATCCCAGCCAAGTTTCCTTAATACGTTTAATTCTATAATGCACGAAGCCAGTCCCTATTTTATTACTATCATTAATCTTTCTATAATACAACTTGGCTCAATAAATGTATCATTAGGAGTTCTCTTATCAAATTGCATTACGTCAAATACCAACACTGGATTTTTGATAAATGTAAGTGCACTGAATGGCAGCTATTATTTTATGTTCAGCGATATTTGAGATAATTATTAAACGATAACTCATTATATTAGGTACAGTATCGTCGATATTAATGAAATTTGAGCTCGTGGTTTATCTAACGATAAACGAATAAATTAATTACTATATCCAACACAGAGTTTGAAGGCAATTTAAAATCCGCTCATAAAATCGAAGGGGGTTTAATTTCTCGCCAGTACAATACTTTAGTCATTTTAAAGTTGCATTGTGTAAGAGCTAAATCTGCCAATGCAGGTCTTTAGTTTGGCTTCAATTGTTATAAAAAAAACAATCGTTTAAACATTTATTAACATCACAAGCCCATGATCAATTCTTTACGAAACCGCATGGCTCCGATTTTAAATAGATTGTTTCGGTCATTTAATGATTTAATTCAAAAATGAAGAAGCTAGACTAACAAGTAGCGTTGTTACGATAATAAACAATAAATGCACACATCTTGTCAAAACTACAAACAGTGATAACTTAGATCAGAATAAAGTAATTTGAATGAAATTTTCAATGTATTCATTTTACATTATCTTTTTGTGAAATATTATAGCAAGAATGGCCAGCTCTGTATCTAAATCTTTCATAATGCATCTTTAAGACATATATGGTCATTTGTATTTCTATGGTTACGTGTCCAAAGTCAGAGTTCATACTCTGTTTAATGCTGGAAAACCACGCTTAATCTGATTAAAACACAGATCCTATTTCGTTTCGTTATGTATAGTTCAAAATTTTGTTTTACTTGTCTTTACTACACTAGGATCTGGAAGAGTTGTTATTATTGACGTGTTCTGAATGGTGTCAGGGATTAGCCAATGAAACGGACTGTTACTGTTACGGTGAGCTTTAGGCGTGTTTTGCACGGAACTGTAGGTAATCCATTAGAAACATCAATGCTGATTGGTTAATCAAATATCTGATGTCATAGGGTCAAAAGTCGCTCGTATGACCTCTGACGCTACTTATCGCTACAACTTGTCAGATAGATCCCTGTATGTAGAATGCTTGCCATGTCTTCCGTCCATCACCCTTGACAAAATAAACCAGACTGGATAAAGACATATGACAATCGAAACACTATTTTTAACACAACCAGCTCCTTTGTCAACCCTTAATTAACAGTCTAATTAATATTAACCAGTTTCATTTAATTTAAATGTTGTACTACAAATTAACATCTGATATAGTTTCTTTGTAAACCGTGTTCGGATCACGTGAGCTTACTGACCAATCAAATTGTCTGTATTGGTATATGGAACTTTGTTTTGTGATAAAGGTTTGGAATTTAAAACTGAAGTGTATTAGAGGGTTAGAGAGACCCCACCCCTATGCAAAATCAGTTACCACATCTATGTAGCCAAGTAGAAGGTCTTAATGGGTGCGTAACCTATTACAACTAAGATTAATAGAATCTGTAACCTAGGACAACCCAGACTGATAGAAGCTGTAATTTAAGTAAACCCGCGGCTAGAAGGATTTCCGGTCTTAATGAGGCCCCGAAAGATCGATTTGGGGGACCCGCGGTTTTATCTCAGAAAACAAATTTCTCTAAGCAGATATTTATTAGAATTGACCAAGTACGCCGAAAGTCGCTGAAATATCTCCTCGACAACTCTTATAACATGATCATATCAATTTATTAATGAAGGGTTATCGATGATACTTCTGCCATACTCACTTCCGCTACTAATTCAGGTAAAAGAGTTAGTGATTAATCGTTGATATAATAATCCATAATCTTAGCACTAGGGCGGTTCATTAAACAACAGCCATGCATGCATACTTTTGATTAACTGCAGTATCCCAGAACTTGAGTAGCGAATACATGTGACTAACCAAGCGGAGGTAATTAACCGATGGTACCAGAGATTAGATTGCCGGAGACTGCAGGTAGACTTGAACTCACCTATATTAGCCAGTAGAGTAATTAGTAGCGTGTCTAGGTTATTTTCAGATTCAAGTGTGTGTGATAAACTATGTTTTGACTAATTGAATAATGATCTTTTAAAGATAATCTGGTAATTGTATTACCATCTGGACTCTTAAAGAAGCGTTATTAAAGGTGTACGAGTCGTGTGTGGGGGTGGGGGGTGGGGTGGGGGTTGAACATCCAATTTTCGGGCAATGGCCAAATGATAAAAAAGTGGATATAAAAGGAAAAATATGCAAAATTATTCCATCTCGCAAAATGAAGAGCCCAAAATCCGAAAATTGGGTGGGGTGATTATGGAAATCACACACTTCTGATTTTGATTCAGAATGTCTAGTTCTCAAACTTAGATAAGATAAGATAAGATTTTATTGTATCATTGCATCCACCAAGGACAGCATACACAGTTTAAACAAAAGTTGATTATACAATTATAACATAACTTAAAGCGGAAATTGCAAATTTTCAAGTTATATTTTTAAAATGTATTAAAATGAAATGAAATGAAATGAAATGGGGTTTAACGTCCTACTGTTTTGCTCCGAACTGGGCTAATGAAGACGGGCATACGCCATACAGTGTGCTATGAGGGAAATTTTGCCCGGACAGCGGCACTACGGCCTACTCTTATATCGAATTCCAACTGTCAAGGGATCTTTTACGTGCACGCCAATGTGTACACGGGACCTCGGTTTTTCGTCCCATCCGAACGACTAGACAGCTGTCCTTGTCAGCCCCTCCGTCCTGCATCACTGACAAGGGAGAACCACGCCGGAAAATCTGGATGAACTTTCTCGGCCAATGCAAGGATCGAACACCCGACCTCCAGGCTAGCGAGCCAGCGCCTTACCCACTTAGCCACCGTGATCCCCAAAAAAGCCTTAAAATAGATGGTATCCATAACAGTCCTACCTTGTTAAAGAATAATCCTATTAATCCTATAAATCGCTATTGCCAGCCGAGAAATTGGCA